CAAAGGAAGCAAAGTTTCCTTACTTTAGCAAAGGAAACCCAGTCTCCTCTTGGCTTATATCGAAATCCTCTGACATTTTTCTTTACAAATCCTCAGTTTGTACTTGAGGCATTCATGACCGGCATTCTATTATGTTCTCTCTCCACGTTCGTCACTAATCACGCAATGCTGACGTCCTACGTCATCCGCCGGAACGGCTTCCGCATACCACAGTTAGCTGAAGTGAGAGAAAAGTGTTTATTACGTTTGAAATATGGATATTTTTCTTACAAAAATGGATGGATTCGCTACAGGAGGCCTTTATTCACCCCCCGGAGCCGTGTGAGGCACTTTTTACTATGAATGCGCGCACTTTATTTGACGTCTTTTGGACTGTTGAACAGATACACCCACCCACTGCAATGATAACGCTTGGAATAGCCAGGACAATTTTTAATATAACTCCGATTGTATTTGTCTGAAAGAAGAAAGTCATATTCACCTAGGATGCCTTGAGGGTGAGTAAATAACAGGCTAATTTTAATTTTTGGGTGAACTAACCCTTTAATGCCAAAAGACGGTTTGCGCTGACGCAAGCTGTTAGTACATCTGGCCCTAAGTTACTTGGTAACACTTTATTTTAAGAACCAATTCTCACTATTAACTAGTTGCTTATTAGCACGCACACTTCTAGCATATTGGCTGTTTATTAGTATTTATAAAGCATGTGTTAATGCCTTACTCTGCATGACCATATTTTAGATCCCTTAATCCACCCCCATACCTAAACTTAACAACTACCTTACTAACTATTGATAGGCAGCAAATTAGGAGTTTATTGAGGCAAAAGTTGTAGTTAGTTAACAGTAAGAACTGGTCCTCAAACTAAAGTGTGTTCAGTTATTATGTATATTTAAAATGCTAAGCTGACGCAGTCTCTCTTTACACCCCTCTAGTACTATTGCTGTAAGAAGGAGGAGTCGGAGTCAGAGGAGGAGGAGCCTGACTTCGCCGTCACGTCTCGTATGCCGCCGGTGCATTCAAACCACAACATCCTGGCGGCCACTGTCCCAACGGCAACCACTCCCAATGGGCCTGCCCTCTTCACGCCACCGCAGACACGAAAACTGACGCGTTCACAGACGTACTGTCCGTCCTGTACGCATTACGACCTGCCATTTTACCTGCAGCAGCCAGACGACCTGCGAAATGGCGGCGAACGCATTAGCTACCGCAGCGTGCATCAACAGGATTTGGGGCTGCCCGCTCCACTGCCTGCCCCGTTGCCCACCCCGCTGCCCACCCAGCTGCCGATGCCGATGCCGCTACCCAACTACCACAAACTAAACCTCAGCCGCTCGGTCACCATGAGGGAGATGTTCACGCGAAGCTGCAGCATTAGCACTGATGTGTAGCCAGCCAGAATTATATAATGCTAAATGCTAATGGCTAACTGCAACAACGCAGGCAACAGACTCAATTCTCACTGAAAGACATAATTCAGCATTTCATAAAGCTGTAGTGCTTGCCTGCGTAAAAAACAATGTCAACAATGTCCTCTGGAAACTCCCAGAGTGCCGAGCTTTTAGGAAGACGGCCCAGTGTGTTTGTTCATAACTGGAAACTATAAAGGCAAAAATGGGGTGAGAGCAAACATTTGGAGACCCTCTCCCTCCCTCTGCGCATCTACTTCACTCCTGAATCCCTTGTTTTGTGTTTTCGGTAATTGGAAAGAGGATTCAGAAAATAAATCTAAAGTTTTTATGCTTTCCTTAAATTTTTTTTCAGTTGCTTATTAGCACGCACACTTCTAGCATATTGGCTGTTTATTAGTATTTATAAAGCATGTGTTAATGCCTTACTCTGCATGACCATATTTTAGATCCCTTAATCCACCCCCATACCTAAACTTAACAACTACCTTACTAACTATTGATAGGCAGCAAATTAGGAGTTTATTGAGGCAAAAGTTGTAGTTAGTTAACAGTAAGAACTGGTCCTCAAACTAAAGTGTGTTCAGTTATTATGTATATTTAAAATGCTAAGCTGACGCAGTCTCTCTTTACACCCCTCTAGTACTATTGCTGTAAGAAGGAGGAGTCGGAGTCAGAGGAGGAGGAGCCTGACTTCGCCGTCACGTCTCGTATGCCGCCGGTGCATTCAAACCACAACATCCTGGCGGCCACTGTCCCAACGGCAACCACTCCCAATGGGCCTGCCCTCTTCACGCCACCGCAGACACGAAAACTGACGCGTTCACAGACGTACTGTCCGTCCTGTACGCATTACGACCTGCCATTTTACCTGCAGCAGCCAGACGGCCTGCGAAATGGCGGCGAACGCATTAGCTACCGCAGCGTGCATCAACAGGATTTGGGGCTGCCCGCTCCACTGCCTGCCCCGTTGCCCACCCCGCTGCCCACCCAGCTGCCGATGCCGATGCCGCTACCCAACTACCACAAACTAAACCTCAGCCGCTCGGTCACCATGAGGGAGATGTTCACGCGAAGCTGCAGCATTAGCACTGATGTGTAGCCAGCCAGAATTATATAATGCTAAATGCTAATGGCTAACTGCAACAACGCAGGCAACAGACTCAATTCTCACTGAAAGACATAATTCAGCATTTCATAAAGCTGTAGTGCTTGCCTGCGTAAAAAACAATGTCAACAATGTCCTCTGGAAACTCCCAGAGTGCCGAGCTTTTAGGAAGACGGCCCAGTGTGTTTGTTCATAACTGGAAACTATAAAGGCAAAAATGGGGTGAGAGCAAACATTTGGAGACCCTCTCCCTCCCTCTGCGCATCTACTTCACTCCTGAATCCCTTGTTTTGTGTTTTCGGTAATTGGAAAGAGGATTCAGAAAATAAATCTAAAGTTTTTATGCTTTCCTTAAATTTTTTTTCAAAAGACACACCAGTACACAGAAACGCTGACGTCTTGAATTTTTCAATATACGGTCTGAATTGAAAGTTTTCTATTGTTCATGTAGCTCGAGACATTTAGCTGAATAATAACTAATATAACCACCGACTTTGTTTTAACAAACCAACACATATAATACAACTTATGAAAAGCCCTAAGTGGGCTGCAATAAAACTGTTGGGTCAAAATGATGTAAGCGTTTGATTATGAGGTAACATATGGGATGAGAGGCATTATTTTATTAAGTTACTGTATGCGATTCTAAATATTAATAGATGTTTTCACAATTTGCGAACTGTTTGTTCTGTTTTGGATGTTTAAATAATTTGTTCTTCTTTATTCACATTTCTCCTATCTAAAAAGGTACAGGATTTTGTTTCACCTGCATTAACGGTATAAAGATTTCCACAAACCTGGATGTGAGATGGATATAAGGGCCATGGATTCTTGATTTCAAGGGCTACATTTGCTCTTTCTAAACGCTGCTTGTTGGACTATGAACAGAACATCTTCTGCCAGAAGGGTTTTTCTCTCTCGCTCTTTCTCTCTGCTGTTCATGCTTACAGAGGTGACAGTTAGCCTATTTCCTGCATTGTTGATGTGAAAACAAGTGGGGCGTTGCACCAACTTTCTTCTTTTTAATAATGACAGTGATTATCAAGAATATTTGTTCTGTTTCTAGCCTGTTTGACAGTGATATTCTTCTCTCGCTAGGTGTGTAGCCGCACACTACAGTCCTGCAGGTGACTGACTTCTGTGATCACCATGTGGTTGTGTTGTGATTTCAGATTTCTCTCCTAGCTATTCTTTCTCTCGTCAGAGCCCGTTTAAATCTCACGCTCTCTCTCATGTGCGCACATACACGTTTCAGTGCCTGTTAATACCAACTGTATTATTATTATTAGTAGTAGCAGTAGTATTACTATTATTATTATTTCTGAATAGTTTTTGCATCACTGCTTTATCACAGTATTTTTGTTTCAGTCATAGATCAATAATATTGTTTCATGTTCTAAAGTGATGCCGAAATGGTCCTGTAATTGATAATGCAATTAAGAATACAATGTGGATAATAAATTGGTTGAAAACATTTTGCCATGTGTTGAAGTTGAATACAAATTTAAAACCTACATTATTTGATATTTTCGATTCAACATTTTGGTTTATTTTCCGATTCTAAGATATGTCTAGTCAAGTACTTGTAATATAGCGCAGTATCAAAGTGAGCAGGTTCAGTATTTTAGATATCCTGTATCTAATGATACATTCAGAACACTGAGCACCTTATATGAATAGAATCAGATTCATTGTGAATTTGAATGTCAACATTTTCCATTACATTTTTGGTTGGGAGGTTGACCTTTCCTCAACTCTTGTCTCAAAAGTTTTTCCTTGACAAATAGTATATATCATGCAACAAGTCACATTTTAGATGGCTGAGCATTACTTTTGTAACATTTGCCATCAGCATCACACACTAAGACCTTAAGGTAAGCAACAGGAACATTAATTAACATGAATTAGCACAAACTTTATGCTACACTGAGTTGATCTTTAGCAAATCTGATATTAATTTTAGTGCCAACACTTCACAATAAGATTCAGTTTGTTAACATTAGTTAATGGATTGGATATCATGAACTAAGAGTGAGCAACTAGTTTTACATAATTTATTTGTCTAGGTTAATGTTAAAAAATTATAGTCATCAGTTTGTATTGTTCATGTTAGTTTGTACAATGTATATAAGTATATATAATATATACTTGAACTGTTAAAATGTATTAGTAAATGTAAAAAATTTACATTAAACTAAAGTAGATTAAAGGAATAGTTCACCCCAAAATTCAAATTAGCTTAAAACTTTACTCACCCTCAGATCATCCAAGTTTGTTTCTTCATCAGATTTGAAGAAATGTAGCATTACATCACTTGCTCAGCAGTGGATGCTCTGCAGTGAATGGGTGCCGTCAGAATGGGAGTCCAAACAGCTGATAAAAACATCACGATAATCCACAAGTAATCCACACCACTCCAGTCCATCAGTTAATGTCTTGTGTTTTGTGTTTTTATCAGCTGTTTGGACTCTCATTCTGACGGCACCCATTCACTGCAGAGGATCCATTACAGACTATATAAATCTGTAACTATATAAAAATGATAGTTATCAGTTTGTATTGTTTATTTTTAACTCGTGTTAGTTTGTGATGTAATGCTTAATTTCTCCAAATCTGTTCTGATGAAGAAACAAACTCATCTACATCCTGGATGGCCTGAGCATGAGTATATTTTTGTTGAACTATTCCTTTAAGAAATGCTGTAAAAGTATTGGTCATTATTAGTTCAAAATACTTTTTTCAGTTTCTCTGTATTTTATTGCTTAATATCCATGCAACAGTTATTTAGGTGATGCATGTTTGCTTTCATTTTGCGGCATAGCAGTCCAGTGCAGAAACTGTGGTGGAGTATGTTTTGGATGAGCACTCTGTCAGATTGGACTGAGAGTATCTGATAACATCAATCCACTGTCTTGTGGGTTCACTGTGCTTCAGATCTGGCTGGAGCACTCAAAGACTTTCAGATGCCAAAGTCACTGCAGTAGTATCTGTCTTGTAGTATGCAGTTTAGACAGATGTGTGTGTATTTCTAAATCATGTCTAATCAAGTAAATTTGGCACTCTAATCACGTTCTAGAGACAACTCAGTGATAATGGAGAGGTTAACTTTGAGAAGCTAAACTTTGCTGTGTCATAGTGAAGAGTCTGAATACTAACACTAAACTGAATATAATTACTAGAATATTTATATGATTATATTATTCATTTTCATGTTAGTAATCAGATTCGTGTTGTTCAGATTCAAAAGATATAATATTTTATATTTATAAATACTGATCAAATAAATATGAATATTTATAAATATACAAACATTATATTACATTAATAGTTAACTAGATGAGTTAAGTTTAAAACAAACTTTTAATTTGGCTTGAGAAAACCTAGAAGCAGTTTAGCAGATTAGATAGATGTTGATAGCATGTTGCTAGCATGATTAAGCACATTGCTAACATGATTTAACATGTGGCCAGTATATTTTTAACATGATTAACATGTTTTTAACACAACTAGCATGTTGTTAGCATGATTAACATGTTGTTAGCATGATTAACATGTTGTTAGCCTGTGTCTAGCATAATTAGCCTGTTTTGCTGACACGATTAGCATATTGTTAGCATGTTGTCAGCCTGTTTCTAGCATGATTAGCATATTGCTAGCATGCAGGATTAGCATGCTGCTAGCATGTTTTAACATAATTAACATGTTGTTAGCCTGTGTCTAGCATAATTAGCCTGTTTCTAGCATGATTAGCATATTGCTAGCATGCAGAATTAGCATGCTGCTAGCATGTTTTAACATAATTAACATGTTGTTAGCATGTTTCTAGCACGATTAGCGTGTTGCTAGCATGTTTTAACATGATGAATATGTTGCTAGAATGTTTCTAGCATGATTCCCATGTTGTTAGCATGATTAGTATGTTGTTAGCATGTTTCTAGCATGATTAGCATGTTTTTAGCCTGATGGATATGTTGTTAGCATGATTAACATGCCGTTAGCATGTTGATATCATGTTTCTAGCATGATTAGCATGTTGTCCTATATAGGATAGTCATTAAGCTTTGCTAGTGACAGACAGCTTAAACACTGTATAAGTCTTACTGTACAGAAGATTTGACCCCCTCAATGAAAGTTTATGGGACTTTTCGTAGTTTCGATCGACGGTTTAATGAAAATCATAAGTCCAATCATTTAGAAAAGATATAGCAAAGTCTGAAGGTCTGACCTGATTTGTTGGTTGTAGCTTGAAAATTCTGCCCAAATTTGGTCTCAGAAGAAGAAGAAGAAGTTAAAAAGTAGATCAGTAAGTTGGCTTTCTCAAACCAACTTAATTAATAATAATAATAATCACACAAAAGTTTGAAAAAAATTTAAGCAGTGTACAGGTGCATCTCAATAAATTAGAATGTCGTGGAAAAGTTCATTTATTTCAGTAATTCAACTCAAATTGTGAAACTCGTGTATTAAATAAATTCAGTGCACACAGACTGAAGTAGGTTAAGTATTTCATTCTTTTAATTGTGATGATTTTGGCTCACATTTAACAAAAACCCACCAACTCACTATCTCAACAAATTAGAATACTCCATAAGACCAATAAAAAAAAATTTTTTAGTGAATTGTTGGCCTTCTCACGACATTCTAATTTATTGAGATGCACCTGTAAATACGTCATAAAGACACTGTATTAATAACACGTACATAATTTATTTTATAACAGTGTGTATGTGTTTAGATTGGTTAAAACTCAGATGTGAATTTTCAGTAAAGTGAAGGAATTTTTTTTCCTGTGCTGAATTATGTAAGGCCATAATGTTTCCCAGCATGCAGCTGTGCTGGCCGGCCCACTAGAGGAGTATTGATGTTTTATGACATGCTTTGAATTATCTCTCTGCGAGATGAACCTCGTTCTCTCTGTCAGTGATCTCTCTGCATTCCCTCGGTCTGCTTACAGAGCCGGCGTAGAGAGCTCGTGTCGGACGCGTGTTTTACAGCCACTGACTCAAGGGAAGAGGTGGGCGGCTGGATGAATTACAAACATGATGAAATGCAAATAAACATGCAAATGTGTGTCCACATCTATAACTTTTCCATACTGGACTGGACTGGATTCTGCCTGAGAAGAGTGCTGAAGGCAATCAAGATATATTTGTGATGGTTTAAAATTAAGTCACATTGTGATTAGTATGGAGCCATGCACATGACATGCAAAAAAAAAAAAAAAGCATGGCTTATTAATTTGTAGCCATGTTTTATTGATTAGTTTCCTTATTTTAGTGAAATTGTGCGCCATATTTTACTAATTAATTTGGTCAACAAGTTAATAAAATAAAACATGGTCACAATTTAATAAGTTTTGGTTATTGAATTCATGTCATGTGTGGAGCTCAGGAAGTTGAGTAAGTAATGTTGTGAACATTGTTTGTCAGACTCAGATGCTATTGGGGGAGGGACATTCTCATTTGAGAGCATTTGATTGGACAAAAATCTATATAGTGCAGGATGAGTCATGAATATAATTGATCCATTTTCTCAACAGTGAAAGATGACTGTGGTATGTGGGAAAAGTGCATTTGGTCAACCTTTAGGTATAAAGTAGAATACAAATGACCTAATTTAGCACACAATTGTTCTTATTTCATCTTTAACATGTTTTATATTTGGGCAGACTTTAGAAACGGTCATTAGACTAGTTTAGAGTTTTAAGGAATAGTTCACCCAAAAATGAAAATTTGCTGAAAATGTACTCACCCCCAGGCTATCCAAGATGTAGATGAGTTTGTTTCTTCATCTGAACAGATTTGGAGAAATGTAGCATTATGCCACTTGCTCAGCAATGGATGCTCTGCAGTGAATGGGTGCCGTCAGAATGAGAGTCCAAACAGCTGATAAAAACATCACAATAATCCACAAGAAATCCACACCACTCCAGTCCATCAGTTAACATCTTGTGAAGTAAAAAAAATCTTAATGTTCGTAAGAAACAAATCCATCATCAAAGCTAAAATACGAGTGCTTTATGGATAATATTGCTTTTTCCAGTGAAAAGACTTCTCATCTGAATCAGGAGAGAAATATGCACAGATCAAGCACTGTTTACAAATGAAAACAGCCCAAAACAGATGAAAACAAACATGTTTGGTGATTTTGATGTGAGAGGATAACAGGAGATTAACTTTTTTCACCTGAGGAAGCGTTATTATAGATTATGGGCTCGTTTTTTCCCAGAAGCGACGGTTTAAA